GCTCTGTTCTGGTCATTGCGTAAGATCTCCAGTCCCCTTGCTAAAGTCTACCAAGGAAGAGAGTCTCAGGGAAGAGCAGTGCACTGCAGAACTCTGTCTCTAATGGGACCATTTGGATTGGTTGATTCTGGGAGAAATAATTTCCTTAGTTTCTCTGCATCGAAGAAGAAGGAATCCAGGTGCTGGGGTATATAAACTTGATGAGCTTAGAACACGGAACAGGAAACGCTGTATAGAAGGGAGGTGGTATGCATTGTTAAAGCAGGGGCATGGTGGGCCTTGGGGTGAGCCATAGTGGAAGGAGACTGACATGAAGCTCAGTGTTCACATGAGTCAGAGGGAAAAGCATATATAGAGAAAGGCAGTTTCTGCACCCTGTGGCAGACTATGAATTTCCCCTACAAGTCTATCCAGAGGGTGACGGGCTTGAGTAAGAGAAGTGCATAGTTCTTTCATGTTTTGCCCAGTCTTTCAAATTCAGGAATAAGAAGTAGACACATTTGGAAATTCTTATTTTATGTATGTATGCTTTTGAATGTCTGAACTATCATCTGCAAATCTGGCACACATGTACACACTTTGTGTGCAGTGGGAAACCAGCAGCGTTGTGCAGGGAAGAAGAGAGCACTGGGCTGGCTTTGCACAGCTGGAGACATAAACAGAGAGCTGGTGTCCCTGAGGCTACAGGGCACCCCTGCAACTGGTGGGGACCTTAGCCCCTCTCGTCCTCACTGGTCTGAACAGTGCTGATGGTCCAAGACAGAATTTAGTGCTTAACCTTCCTGATATTTTGTTATTGGATTTAAATCCTCAAAAAGGAGCTGAACTCTAGAGATACCCTTGGTTTTTACCCAAATGCGTGTGCCTCTGTGTGTGTGTGTGTCTGTGTGTGTATGTGCATACATATGCCAGCAACTGCTGAGACTTCCACCACCAGCAATAGTAACGTTGCACTGACCTTCTAATAAGTAAAGGTATGAGCTGCTCCTGCATCCTGCCTTAGTATGAGAGAGATGAAAAGAAGTTTCATTTGGTCCAGTGTATGAATGGGTTTGCTGTTACAAAAAAGCTTAAATTCTCTTAGGACTATAATGCCTCTGTTGACATAAAGGTCTTAAATTAGGTTATGATTTGCATCAAGAAAATGTTAAATGACACAGTTTTTTTCCTCAAACAGCTGATCATTTTTAACATGATTTTGCTCACGATATTGCTGCTTTTTCACAAGTGTATACTGTGTACATTACAGAGGAAAATTAAGGTTGAAATCTCAGGTGTTGTTAGTGTAATTAACAAACTACAGGTCTAAAGAATGTGGTTTAATCCTAAAATCTGTGACATTGAGAGGCTGAGCTCACTTCAACTGCACTGTGAGACTCGTAGAAGTTGCGAGTGTAAAAGCTTACACTCTCTTAGGGTGGGTTATTTGGGGATACACAGAGCCAAAACTTTAAATTTGCACATATAAATGCATGGGTTTTTAAAGCCAGAAGGAACCACTAAGATCTAGTCTGACCTCCTTTATAATGCAGTCACAGAATTTCACCTTGTAATTCTCTGCCTGAGCCAAATAACATGAGTGTTCATGCCAGAAGTGTTTGTGCTTTAATTCAGTAAGGGAATAGGTATGATACCAGGCTGTTTATCCTGCAATCTCAACGAAGCCACAGAGCCCAAATAATGCATACCAAACATCAAATTCTCTCAGACTTGTGGTGATAGTAATAAAAATTTCTAAATGCCTTTGAATAACAAATAAATCTGATTAAACCACTCTTTGCTTATGGCTATCCTGTGAGCAAGAAAGAGCATAAATTGTTAGAGACGTGATTTATAGAATATTATTCACTTTTCTGAGTAACTCTCTCCATTCTTGGTTCTTTGATATTCTGATAGCAATGTCCTTTGCAAATAACGCAAAATGATGTATATTTTAGCAGCTACTGGCTAGGCTCTCAAGAGGAAACATTCTCTAATAGCCCAGTGCTCCTGAGGGGCTTTTACAAGCAATAAAATCCAAAGCATACAAGCCAGATTTTTGTTGTATCTTGCTTATACAAACATGAATTTCAGGTTCTCAGATCTTTTTTTTATTATTGCAAGACAAGTACAAATACTGTGCAACCAGATTGCTGCATCCTGCAGACATTTGAAGAGTCAGCTGTCTATGCGGTAGACCAAACATTTGGAGTCTGAAGTGTGGCACAAAACCACCTGCTGGGCTCTTCAGAAGGGCAGGAGTGGGGAAAGGACTCTCACACAGCAATCTCCTTGTCCACTGAACTCATTTTCTGCCTGTACTTTCTATGATCAGAGGGGACAAAAGCAGAAAACGTCCCTATGTGTGCTGAAAAAAAAGGTCAGGTGAAGAAACCTTTGATTTCTCCTACTTATAGGTGAGGATAATGAGGATAAAAATTGACCACAGGTAGTATTTAATGTGGTAAACTGAAATTCTGGACGATGTTTATTGAGATGCCATATCCAAACCTTCTCTTGCCACTCTTTGCCAAGCTCTACATAAAATGTACAGGAGCTAGAAATCTCCATCAATGCTGTCACTGGTGGCCAGCCCTGCTTATTTTCTGCCATGCAAGAGATGTTTTTAAACATTTCCTTCACTGGGGTTGCTTTGTTTTCACTAGCACAGTGACTCCCAGACTAGAACTTTTGAACCTGACTGAAGTTATGCCACAAATATATGTAATTAGGAGCCTAGTGGAAGTAAAATTGCAGAACCAGGTCTCACAGTGTGACTGTGAAAGAGAAAGGAAGGGAAAGGCATGACCTTCAAGTGCAGCCAGGGTTGTGAACATCTCCATATAGCCTTGGGCACTCTCTGCAGAAGCTTTCAGACTCTTAAATGTGCCATGGTGATGCCCCAGCACTCTCTGGACACAATTTTACTTTCTTGGTTTCCCTTGTGAAAGGGTATTTTTTTCACATTCAACTCAACGCTCTCTACTTTATTAACATTGAAGTTTTCTCCTCTAAATCCCTGCTTGAGCTGCTCTTGTCTGGTTTTTGTCACTTGTAGTTACTGCTGCTGCCCACACCAGATCCAAAAATTACCTTTTCTATGATCATTTCCGATCTCCATCCTTCCCCTTTGTTAAGAATGGGGGGATGGAGTCATTGGTTTCTGAATCTCCAAATTTTCCTGGTCTTTTTATTTGTTAATTCAGCAGTTGTTTTGCCCATTTGCCCTGTACCAGAGCTCTTAACCTGACCAAGGAGTCTACTGTGCTTGGAAATGTCCAAAATCCACCACCACTCCTACAAATGTTGCTTTTCTCACTCTTTTTCTTAGCCTCTTTTTTGACTGTACCTTACTGGTGAGAGTAAAATTTGCTGTTCAAGGCAGGTAATAATGATTGCTTAGGGGTTTTTATTTTTGGTCCTGGAAAATTCCATGCCTATTTCAGTTACTGTGCAAATAAATAATAAAAACTGCAGCAATTGATACAATATTGCAATAACATCGAAGATGAAAGCTGAAAGTTTGTTTTTTATCCTGGAAAAACTTCATCACAAATTCTCTTTTTCTCCACAGACTTCAACGCTGTTTAGATATGTGGCAACAAGGAAAGGATTCACTGAAAATGCTTAGCAGATGTGCCTGGAGAAAACCCAACTTCTCAGACTGCACTACAGTCAACATCCCCATCAATAGCAAATGCAGTACTGTTTACAAAGCTGATATTTAATTCACTGGCCAATGACATTAAAACCAGAGAGAGCACAATATTTCCATGCTCAAATTTAAATTTGTTTAATTTTTTGAGTCCATATAAAACAGAATATGGAAAACCCAACTGCATCTAAAAGCAGTGCAGGAGATCCACTGAAAACAGGGTTTTCTGTTGTCTCTCTTATAAATAAATGAAAATATTATAGCAGAAGTTGCTCTTTATCCTTCATGCAAACACAGCAGTTGTGATGATTATACTTAGCAGAGGGTGGATTTTGTGAGTCTGTTAGTATTTCCATTTGCTGGTTCAGTCATACATTTTTCTGCCAAAATGGCAGGCTTTGCTAAGCCTACAAACTAATTTAACTTCAGTAGGTCATCCGGATCAGGCTAACAGCAACATTTATGCATTTGCATTAAACAAAAGCTTTATGCTTTTTTGAAAGTTTATGTTTATATTGGCCTTTAATAACGGGGCCAAATTCTTAGCTGATGTAATTTAACTGAATCTAAGGCATGATATTCCAGCAGAGAATGTGATGATAACATTTACATTTTTATAGATATAATGCAATGTATTCTAGATGTAGACCTGCATCTATAGCTAACACACACAGTATATATATAATTATGAGCATAAGTATACATGCATGTATATATGCCAGTAGTATAATAAGTATGCATACAAATGCACACACTTTGTTTTCAGTTTGTGGTAGCCATCATTTGCTATTACTTAATGCCCTAAATTGAGAATGGTGGATGTGTTTACTTTTTATGTGCCACCATGGAATAATTATGAAATATTTATTATATGACAATTATTCTACATAAATACATGTAGTTACGGGACAAAGCAGCCACTCTGTGACATGTGGCTGCAATGACATTTCAAATAGTAGAAATATTCCTAGGAGCCTTTAGGGTACTTTATCCAATAGGGTGAGGATGAACTAAGTTTATCTGCATGATGGTTGGTGTGCAAGTTTTGGGGTAGATAAATCAATCAGAGGAGAGTAGATGTATTTTATTTGAACACTGAAATTCTATTGGTAAAAATGCAGCAAAGACAGTTTATATTTTCTTCACACTGTAAAAAGCAACTAACGATCCGTGGAGAATTTGGGAAAATGTCCTATTTACATTCCATCCTATTTATATGGTCTGCTTTTGCATACAAAGGAGGTCTTTGTTTCCACAGGGTTTATCAGCAACTGCTAGTTATTTCCCACCAGTAGCCATAGTCCTCTGTGATATCAAACTTCATTTCCACATGCAAAGAGTTTTGCCATGTATATACATCAGGTACCTGGCAATTTTGTCTGTACAGGACATGGTAATGAGCTGCTCTCCCAGCAACACGCCGTCCCATGTCTGAGCAGCATTATGGCACCGGACAGGTATGGTTCCTTCTCCAGACTCAATCTTTGTTCGGAGATGCCCTCGGTATTTTCTCACTATGTGCTTGCTGCTGTTCACTGGATAAAATAAACACAAGAATGGCAATAATTAAATGTTTTTAGAAAGAACCTGAGAGGCTGTGTTGATGTCATAGCTCGTATTTGCAGAACCACCTGTGGAGGTCCTTTAAATTGGATGCAAAATTAGATGAGAATACAGCCCAAGAAAGCAGCCCAATGGAGAAAAGTATGTGCTCCCTAGCATGGCTGTCTTTTTCACATCAATCAAAACTTTCACACAGCACATGCTGAGCTCAAGTTCCCATTCCCATTCCCTCATATATTTAAAAAGAACATAAGTAAGTGCTCTGTTTTTCAGAGAAGCAGTATAATATCTTGGTTTTAACCTGTGCTTGTAGGATTGACCTGTGTCAGGAGGCTATTTGAAAACCTTGGTTCAATGAGTGCCATCAAGACTCACCTGCTTGATGCAGTCCAGTACAAAAATTTAGTGTAATATTCAGTGGCATTTTCTGAATAATTTCAGAACTTTTTGATTTGTTATCACAAAATTTCATTGAAAATTCTCAAAAGCTGAGTTTTTATACTCTGGATCAAAAGCAAATCAAAACTTGCTAGTTATTTATTGCTTGTTTAAATTCCATCTATAAACTCCCTAAAGTGAGATACCTTCCTGCTTTGTGTTGTACTGATATCTTTTATACAATTGCCATCCATCTCTCTGATATTATCTACTTCAGCGCTAGGCAGCTGCCTTTAGGATGGTGCAGGGCAAGCAGCTAATGCACTTGTGCTGTGCCACTGTCCTGGGTTCAGCAGTAGCAGTCATGTTTCTCCTCCTTGGTAGCTGGTGCAGTGCAGTGTTTTGACTTTCAGCTCGGGAACAGAGCTGATAACAAAGATGTTTTGGTTTGGCCAAGGACTTTGTGAGCCTCATGCTCTGCCAGGGAGGAGGGGAAGCTGGGAGGAAGCAGAGACAGGACACCTGACCCAAACTGACCAAAGAGGTATTCCATACCACAGCACGTCATGCCCAGGAGGTAACTGGGAGTTAGCCGGAAGGGCTGGGGGACTGCAGGGTTGGAGGAGGTATCGGTCGGAGCTTGGTCGGGCTTGGGGGGCGAGTTATCGGTCAGCGGGTGGTGAGGTGTTGTATTCTGTTCCCTTGTTATTTCCTTTATCATTATTATCATTGGTGGTAGCAGTAGTGATTTGTGTTATACCTTAGTTACTAAACTGTTCTTATCTCAACCCGTGGGAGTTGCAATCTTTTGATTCTCCTCTCCGTCCCTCCGAGAGCAGGGGGAGGGCAAGAAAGGGGGGGAAGTGAGCGAACGAATTACCTGACTGGGTTTAAACCACGACAGCCACAAAGAACTGAACAGAGTCCTGCAGACATGCAGTAGGTGCAGAAGATAATAACATACTTTACCTTCATTTTTATGAAAAGAGAAAAACTGAAGTTCATTATCAAAATGATAATGAACTCTTACCCTCTTTATACTGCTACTTTACCCCTGGGTATTTTGGTTATAAAAGAACAGCAAGGCAGAGCAAGGAATCCTCTTGCCCGTATTTCCAACTGTCCAACTGTATTTTAACATGGCCTGCCCCTCAGCTGGACCAGAAAGTTTACCTTGTGAAGGTGATGCTCCTCAGCCCTCCACAGCCTACGGGACTGCCTTGTTCTGGCACTAAGCAACACTGGGGTGTTACAGGTTGTGAGGCTGTTTGAACCTCTGGCCATGAGCAGCTGGCTCTGTGTATACTCCTCAGCCACCTGCTCTCTCCCTGTCATCTCTACTGTCCTTGCTTTCTATGACTGTTGTCTGTGCTGCAAGCTCTGGTGGAAGCAATTGATGGACTTTGGCTGCTGCTGATGGATGGTTTACAAAATGGGAATGGAAAAATAAATCACTTCAGCCCTTTGGGATTAGCAGAAGTGGTGAATACATGTAAAACAGCAGAGACAGCTGTGACCTGCCAGCAGACAGGTGGCTGAGCCCCCATCAGCCTTCACTTCCTTCCTGCTTTTTTAAAATTTAAGATGGGGATATGTGTGCCAGGTGTGGGCTGGACCAGGTATCAATTGGATTGGTTGGCCATGGCCAAAACCGATTCCCGCCCAAACCCAGGCTCCATCACATCCAAAATATTTGCAAATCATGGAATCATAGAATAGTTAGGGTTGGAAAGAACCTTAAGATCATCTAGTTCCAACCCCCTGTCATGGGCCAGCTTCTGCTAGAGCTACCTTGCTCAAGGCTCTGTAAAAGGATGCCAGAGAGGGACTCTTCATCAGTGACTGTGGTGGTAGAACAAGTGGTAGTGGGTTCAAACTTAAACAGGGGCAGTTTAGATTGGATATAAGGAGAAAGTTCTTTACTGTGAGGGCGGTGAGGCACTGGAATGCATTGCTCAAAAGAGCTGCAAATGTTCCATCCCTGGTAGTGTACAGGGCCAGGTTGGACAGAGCCTTGAAATACTGTAGGGTTTGTTTGTGCTGCCACGGGATCTGAGTCTGGGGAAAAGCAGTTATTGCACTGCCATCCCCATCAGCACCTGTGTCCAGGACTCCTTGTGCCCAGCTGTCACAGAGCACCTCACAAGCAGAACTGCAGTAACCACCAGGTTTAGAGTAGTGTGGTTTCTCAAACTTCAGTTTTGAGGGAAACTGGAAAAAGCCAATGGAGAAATAAAAAAATCAGTAAGAAAAAATGCCAAAGTCTCAAAAACATCTCCGATCCCTCTTCCCTCAAATTATTGGGCTCTGCCAAGACTATCAAGAAGCCATTTTCATGGCCACGTGCTGTTTCTTTGCATATCCCCCTTGTCTGGTATGCGTCCTGCAGTATTGTTCAGAGGATGATCTTTGGATGGGATTAGCTGTCTGGGAATTGGTCCATATTTTTCTTGGGACTCAGTGGGGAAACTCATTTTTTAAAACTTCAAGCAGTGTTGAGCAGCATTTTTTTTATTATTAAACCACAGAGTTGTGGGGAAGGTACCATGAAATTTGGACAACAAAAGGAGAAAGTGATCACTTCTGCTTAGCAAACACATCTAGCTGAGCAACAGCAGGAAATGTATATAGCAAACCCACTGTGCCTTAGTCTCCATGCACTGAGAACTGACGGCATGGCAGAGCTAGACCTCTGCCAGGGAAGCAGTGAAGAGTGACCCCAGAGACTATTGTTGCTTTAGCTGGTGGAAAGTGTGACTTGAAGCAAATCAGTTCTCTTTTCCTCAGCTTTCCCACAGGTATAAAGAAGATAATGATGCATCCTTCTGCAAATTCATTTAAAGGTACTGCTCAGAAGCTATTTATGAAAAACAGATGCTATCCTTTCAATAAAGTTCTACCACAGGAGTCCACCTGCTGGAAATCCCCCAGGACGCAATGAATGTTTAATATTTCTTCCTCCATCTCTTTTTTTAGAAAAATATTTTCCCTTGCTACACCTTTCTCTCCCCATTTCCCATCTCTCTCTCCATTCCTCTTACTTTCTCAGCTCCCACTCTGACCTTCCCCTGAAGGTGCACTGTCTCCTATATTACTCTCTTTTTCAGGCAGTTCACCGTGTTGATACGCTTACATTTTGCATACATGCAAAGGGATAGGTAACTGCTAGGGAATTTTAGTGCCTGCATGAAAAGAAGAGCAACCCATCATTTATATGACTTTGATTTCCCTAGGTAAATATTACCTAGTGAGGGGCAAAGCAACCTGCAATGTGCTGGCAGAGATAAGGAGCCAGTTCAGGGGAAGAAAAAACAGCAGCCCTACTAACAACTGCTGAGCTCTTGAGGAATTTAAAGCATAGGCCAAAAATTTGGGGGGGAGAAGGATCTGAAACAGTTCTTTGAGTTGGGGGGGGGGGGGGGGGGGGGGCTGCTTATTTGATTTTTCATTTGGCTATTTGAACTCCTCAGTTTCTCATGAACCAAAGGAAGTACAAAGGCCAAAGTATTCCATGTCCAGCTGTTATTACAGTACCTCAGCCCTGGCCAGCAAGTACCAGAAACTGAATAATGAAGTTCTTAAAAGCACTTAGGAAGTGTGTGCAAGTGCACAGATTGTCTCAGGTTTCAAATGCCCATATTAACTCTGCCCATGTGTCAAACTTTGCTCCCTGTAATGCATGCTCTGCCCAGGGTGCAGCCAAGCAGACGGCATTAGCTGATAGGATTCAGGCAGCTGTGGCCAGTGTACGCTCACCCTGGGATACACTTCTACAGCACTGATAAGCGGTTTTAACTGCTCAACTGCTATTAAATTCAACAGATAGGGTGTGACTAAAACCCTGTGCTGTACTGCCTGTGTCAGGCTGCTCACATTGCTGGGGTAGCTGGGTCATAAGCTCCAAAAGATGATCTGTAGCATTTATATAAGATACTAATAACCCAAAGCTGTGACTACTTTCTGATTGCCAATAGTTAAATAATCCAGATCCGCGACTGGAACACACTTAGTTCCTTTTTTTGCAAATCATTAGGTAGAACAAGAAGACATAAATATTGAACAGAGAAAAAGATGAGGCTCTGTGTGTTTTGCACTGAAGCTTCAGACAGACTCTAGCACATAAGCTGCTTGCCAGCAGTAAAAAATGCAGTCCACTTGCTGGCACAGCCTGCTACAGATCATCTTAAAGCAGTCTCAGAAACATATTTATTTATGCAACTTAGAGTCACAAACTACAGCCTACTCCCGTTCTGCTGTTCAGTATGATCAAAGCATCAGTGACTGTAAGCATTTCTGATCTTTGCTGTGCTGGTGCTCCAACTGCTTAATCTCAACTAATTGCAGGGGAGAAGGCATCTGAGGATGCCACTTCAAGCAGAACAAAATGTCAATTCAAACCAGAATTGGAAAGGACAGATTTAAAAATCATTTGGAGTGGATTTATGATGTGTGATACACTCAGAAGTGGAAATTACTTGTGAGAGTTCCTAAAATAAAAAGGTGCTGGATTAATTATTGGATTAGAAATTTACATAGGTGCCTTGTATTTAAAATCAGTGAAACCTACTGATTTCTGGGCTAACCCCTTATTTTC